TATAATGTTGTCTTTTTTGACTAGTTACGATCTGCAGAAGATACGAATAAGCAATATTCCATCATCACAATCATAAATCATAATGATCAATCATTGGTCATAACACAACACTAAAGAGACCATTGCATTCACTCAGTGGTTTCTGATTTTTAGCTTTATAACATGTCATTCAATTGCTCTTTATCATTTTATGAAAAGGAGACTGCATTTTTTTCCCAGTTGTAGCCAGGAGATCTTCAACCAAATTGAGAATGCCAAGGCAAAACCTTACTTTCCAAAATGATAGCTGAGAAAATGAGTTGCATGAATAGCAAAAAAAAAAAAAAAAAAAAAAGATGTTTCAAATTCCAAAAATGTGGTCAGCTCTTGGGAATTGTTGGTTTATTGTAAGCTTTTGTGTTCTAGTTTTGTAAGATACTCCAAGTCTTGTTGATTTCTTCTTATTCGGATCAGATGTTACCTCCCTTTCTCATGTACAGAAGATGCAGTATATGAGATATTATGGATTTTTTGAAGATATGGACTTTCTATTTGAAATGGAGAAGTAAATACTCATGTATCCTTCTGCATCCTTTTAGCAACATTGCTATATTTCTCCCATGACATCTTTTAAATGTTATGTGTTTATTGGACACAATGTCTTCATTACCCAGCATTGGGGAAAAGAATGCTGTTGAGTGTTCCATCAAATTCCATTGAGTATTAATTTAGAATATTGTTAATTTAGGAGAATGGCAATTATGATCTCCAGAAATTCAACTAGGGTACAATTATTTTCAACAATATATTAGCTTGAAAGTTCAGACATATAATAATTCAAGAGAACAATTAGCTATTGAGTTAAGATCCCATTGTTTCCAATGGGAGGTAATTCAGAAGAATTCTTTAATCCTATACCTGCTTATAACAATCTGCATATTTTATGATAGTTTTGCTGAAAGCTGGCAGCGATTTCCAATTTTCAGCAAAACCAGCCCCATTGTGAATCATGCCTATCCTTAATAATTTTATTATTCACTTAGCAACCACTGCAAAATGGTTGTAAAAAAGGATCGGTCATGAAGGTGACCTGATCAGTGACCATTTTGACATACAGGTACTCCTTGACTTACAACCACAATAGAGCCCCAAATTTCTGGTTTTTTATTCAGAGTTTTTTATTTTTATTTTTTACACATCTCTTCATGTGAGCAACATGATTCCAGATTACAATATGTATACATAGCCATAGTTACACTTTCAACTTTCTTAATTAATATCACTTCAAATTATTATCTAATCTTTAGATAAATTTCCCTTTCATATTTCAATTAATTAATTCAATATCAAAATCATTTCATCCTCACATATATTTTCAATTCTTTATCCCCTATTATTTCCATTTTCAGTTTACCACCTATTTTATGTTACCTTATGTACATTATCATCTATAACTTTCTCAAGACCAATATATAATTAGACAGACAATGAAAGAAAAAACAAGTAAAAGTAAAGTAAGATTAATACATTTAGGATCCACATGGTATATCTCCTCATCTACAATATATATTATATCTATTCCAGACATATTCATATAATCATTTCATATACCCTGTTTCTCCAACAATACGGCCTCCCCCAATAGAAAGTCCCAGCATGTTTTATAGGCATGAAATGAAATTAAGCCCCTCCCCCACAAATTAAGGCCTATATTAAAACATGCAAAATGGGGGGGAATGGTGGGGGGGCTTGCCTGCATTAGGAAGTACTTTTGTTGCACACCCAGATGTGGTGCTGCCTGCATTGACCCTGATACGAAGTGCCCCACCAATGCCGAGGTCAACATCCAAGCCGTCGCCGCCCGCCCGAAGATGCAAGGGGAGGGAATTAAGTCACCCCCGAAAAGACAGCCTAGCCATTTTTTCGGGGCTCAAAAAAAAATAAGACCCAGCCTTATTATATGAGAAACACGGTATTTTCTTTGCTTCCAAAATTAACCTATATAATTTTAATAAATTTTCATTCCCCTGCTTTTGATCAAAATTTCTGTTGTTAAGTGAGATATTTGTTAAGTGAATTTTGCCCCATTTTATGACCTTTCTTGCCTCAGTTGTTAAGTGAATCACTGCAGTTGTTCAGAGAATCTGGCTTCTCCATGGACTTTGCTTGTCAAAAGGTTGCAAAAGAGGATCACATCACAATGGGACACACCGACTGTCATAACTATGAACCAGTTGCCATGCATCTGAATTTTGGTTATATGATCATGGGGATGCTGGAAAAAACATAACTGTGAAAGATAGTCATAAGTCACTTATATAAAGATTAGGAAGAAGGATTATAGTAAATAAAGCAAGAGACCTTAATAGTGTATTAATGTAGGTATGTATATAATAATATAAATAAGATATATGTATTTGTCGATGCCAAAATGTTGTTACAAAATATGTGAGATTTGTATTTTTGAAAACTGCAATAAAAACATTTTTTTAAAAAAATTATCTAGAGATATGCCACGTTTATCTGCAAAAAAACTGATATATTTTTAAAGCATCAAAACATGAAGTTTCTTGACCCCTTAACATATGCATCACAAATCTAGCCCTCCATCTAAACTATCATAGTAAGGGTGCCTTCAAGGCAATATTGATTCCCAGTGACCATCTGGACATCAAAATAACAGAATTGGAGGGGACCTTGGAGGTCTTCTAGTCCAACTCCCTACTCAAGAAACCTTCTGTTCCACTACTCAGGAGACCCTATGCTATTTCAGACATATGGTTTTCCAATCTCTTTTTACTTCGAGTGTTGGAATACCCACAACTTCTGGAGGCAAGTTGTTCCACTGGTTGATTGTTCTCACTGTCAGGAAATTTCTCCTTTGTTCTAGGTTGGTTCTCTCCTTGATTAGTTTCCACCCACTGATTCATGTCCTGCCTTGAGGTGCTTTGGAGAATAGCTTGACCCCTTCCTCTCTGTGGCAGCCCTTCAAATATTGGAACACTGCTATCATGTCACATTTATTGGCAAAATTTTGGAAGTGGTTGGCCATTGTTTTCTTCCTAGGTTGAGAGAGAGTGACTGGCCCAAAGTCACCCAAACAGCTAAGGCAGGACTAGTTCTGAAGGTTTCTACCCTTAACCACGTTCTCACAGTAAGGGACTATAGTTTAAGTGTCAAAACTTGGTCAGGAACATCAGACTGAGATGACCCCACAGATAGGATGCAAGAAAAAGGTAATGGAGATGAGAAATGAGACCAGTCAGAAGAGGAGGTATGACTGAGTGTTGACAATTTAGAAGAAAATCAGAATGTAGTACTCAGTTAGTCCTCAAGGAAAGTTCATATGGAAAATAAAATCTTGTATTTTTTTCTTGATAGAATTTTGTCATAATTTTCCATAGGATACTGCTGTACACAGATCTCTACATCCCTGATAAGAATGTACAGAAATGTAGTCTATTTCAACACATTTTGATCCTCAGAAAAATATTAGCATTATTGTAAGAGTATCATTGCTGAGACACAAAGGTGCTTTTTTCAAGAGGCAACTGGACTTCTTTTTTTTTTCTTTGAAGACAATTTGCTTCTCATCCAAGAAGCTTCTTCAGCTCTGACTGGATGGTAGGAAGAATTTAGCATCAGAATTTAATATATGGATGGATCATGATTGTCCAGGAGAGGAACTTGTGTCTCCATGATGTAAATTCCAGACTTCCTTCACTTCCTTCAGAGACCCTGCAGAATTCTCTTTGATCTGAGATTACTTCAGGGGAATATTTGGAATCATTCTCTTGGACCAATTTATGTTTCCTCTTCTCTTTCCCCTTCTAAACAAGATACCATTCCTTGAATTATGAAAGAAAGATGACACAAAACTGCCTATGTCATATGAAAAAAAAAAATCAAAGTTTTACATTTAGGCAGGAAAAATCATAGGTATAAGTACAGTTTAGACAAGACCTGGCTCAAAAACAGTAACTATGAGAGGGACCTAGGACTCCTAGTGGATGATCATTTGAATATGAGCCAGTAATGTGCAGCAGCTGCCGAAAAGTTAATACAATTCTGGTTGTATAAACAGAGGCATAGAATCAAGATCACGTGAAATATAAGTACTGCTTTATAAAGCAATAGTAAGATCACACCTGGAATACTGCATCCAGCTTTGGTCACCACTAGAAGTGGTATTCAGCAGGTTCTGACCAGTTCTGGAGAACCAGTAGCAGAAATTTTGAGTAGTTTGGAGAACTGGCAAATGCCACCTCTGATTGGAGATTTTACAGTATCCTTCTCTTGCCATGCCCACCAAGCCACATCTACAGAAACCAGTAGTAAAAAAATCTGAATCCCACCACTGGTCACCACATTTTAAAAAAAGATGTTGAGACTTCGGGAGAAAGTGCAAATAAGAACAACTAAAAGATGATTAAAAGCCTGGAGACTTGGGTTTGGCTAGTCTAGAGAAAAGAAAAAACTAGGGGGGACATGATAGCTGTATTCCAGTATTTGAGAGGCTGCCACAAAGAGGAGGGGGTCAATTTATTTTCCAAAGAATCAGAAGGCAGGACAAGAAACAATGGATGGAAACTAATCAAGGAGAGAAGCAACCTGGAACTAAGAAGAAACTTCCTAACAGTGAGGACAATTAACTAGTGGAACAGCTTATCTTCAGAAATCATGGGTGTTCCATCACTGGAGGTTTGTAAGAGGAGATTGGACAGTCACTTGTCTGACCTAGTATAGCTTCTCCTGCTTGAACAGGAGGCCTCCAAAGTCCCTTCCAGTTCCATTCTATTCTAATTCTATTCTAATTCTAATTTCTCTGCACTTTTAAAAAAATGTCTTGCTTTTTCTAAAAATTAAACTAGCTCCAAAAATTTCTTAACAGTTCCTCAAAAATTAAAAGAGCCCCTAAAATAGGATAATTTACACATAATTCAAAACATGAAACAAACACAACTATTGACCATTTTTATTATTAAAAATACATATAAATAGTTTTACATATTTTGTGCTACCTAATCTGGTTTCCCATTCCAGAGTTTCAGCAGAGCAGCTTTCATTTCTTTGTTCCTAAGGGTATATATTAATGGGTTTAACAAAGGTGTTACTGTGGTGTAGAACATGCTCACCACACCATCCATGGAGTCCTGAGAAGCTGGCCTTACATAATGGTACACCACAGGCAGATAATATATGACCACCACAGTAAGATGGGCAGTGCAAGTTGAGAAAGCTCGGCGCCGTCCTTCACTACTACTAATTCTTAAAATAGCCATGATGATGTAAACATAGGATGCTAGGATAAGGAGAAAGCAAGTCATTGCTACAAGGCCAATATCAATGAAGGTCATCAACTCATTAAGTTTTGTATCAGCACAAGCCAACTTCAATATGGCAGGAATGTCACAGAAGACATAGTCAATACGGTTTCTTTGTCCATAAGGTAAGCGAAAGGTGAGCGATGTTTGAAATGTAGAGTTGAGGCAGCCACCAATTATGGTACCCAAGGAGAGGATGAGACAGAGTCTCCAGCTCATGATGGTACCATAGTGGAGTGGTTTACAAATGGCCAAGAAGCGGTCATAAGCCATCAAGGTGAAGAGAAGGCTTTCTGCACATCCCAGGAAGTTGAAAAAAAATATTTGAGTCACACATCCAGAAAAAGAGATCATATTCCCCCCAGGGTTGAATCCTGCAATAACTGTAGGGACCACCACTGCTGAAAAGGCCATGTCTAGGATGGAGAGATGACACAGGAACCAGTACATGGGCTTGTGAAGTTGAAGATCAGAGATCACCACCAAGACAATCAGTGAATTCCCAACAAGAGTGAGTGCAAACATGATCGAAAAGAAGAGAATCAAGGAGAGCTTAAATTCTTCTGGATATGGGAACCCAGAGAGGACAAAATTGTCTGGGGTGGTTTGATTTGAGCAGTCCATGTGTCTGCTTTGCTTACACTTACTTCAGCACTTTGAGGAGTGAGAGATTTTTAGGAGGAATGTTTCATTTCCAGATAGTTCTTAACTGAGGAAAGTCTTGGCAACTTATATGAGCCATGGTGCACAGTGGTTAGAGTGCAGTACTGCAAGCTACTTCTGCTGACTGCTGGCTGCCTGCAAATTTGGCAGTTCAAATCTCACCAGGTTCAAGATTGACTCAGCCTTCCATCCTCCTAGGTGGGTAAAATGAAGACACAAATTGTTGGGGGCAATATGCTGTATATGCTCTGTAAACTGCTTAGAGAGGTCTGTAAAGCACTGTAAAGCATATATAAGTCTAAGTGCTATTACTATTTGCATTCTGCAAGTTTTGCCTTTATGGCCTAAGGAGGTTTAACAGACTCCAATCTTCTTTCAAAAATAAAAACCTGCATCACCCCATCATTAATGTCAATGCCATCCTTATATGACAGATTTATATCTCAGTTATTTCCTAAGCATTTGGGAATTATAACAGTTCTAATAAATTAATGTATATGTCAAAAAGTAGCTGCTGGATACCTTAAGTGGAATTAGCATTGTGTCAGTTCTCAGTCACATCCTCAAACATATTATTAGTTCCTTCTTGTCAACATTCTAGCCTTACAGATATATTTATAGTGTATCTTTAATTAGGGTCTAATTCTTTGTCAGTTCCTCATAAAAATAAATGGGAAAAAAAACCACCTCTCAAAATCTGAGACAAAATTTTGGAGTTAATGATGTTCTAGGGAAAAAAAAGAGAGGCTCAACTTATCCCCCAAAGCATCTGAAGGCAAAATAAAGAAATGACGGATGGAAACTAATCAAGGGGAGAAGCAACCTAAAGCTAAGGAGAAACTTCCTGACAGTGAGAACAATTAATCATTGAAACAACTTGCCTCCAGAAGTTGTGAATGCTCCAAAACTGGAAGTTTTTAAGAACAAGAGATTGGATAACCATCTATCTGAAATAGTGCAGGGTTTCCTGCCTGAGCAGGGGGTGGGGGTGGGGTTAGACTAGAAGACCTCCAAAATCCTTTCCAACTCTGTCATTCTGTTAATAGTTAAAATTTGTCCAACAAATAAATGGATTGTAACACTACAGGTAATCATCAAGTTAAAACAGTTAATGATCTTTCTAAGTTGTAACATCATTGAAAAAAGTGACCGCTTGCACACCTACGACCATTGCAGAATCAAACTTCAGATGCTGTGTCATCTTTTAAGACCTTCAGAAAAACAAAGTCAATGGTGAAGCCAGATTCCCTTAACAACCATTCTACTAACTTAACAACTGCAGTCATTCACTGAACAACTATGGAAAGAAGGATCATAAAATGGGGCATCACTCATTTAACAATTGTCTCATTTAGAACCAGAAATTTTGGCTCAATCTTGGTCAAAAATTGAGGATTACCTATATATTCCTAGGTTCCTGAAACTGTGGAGGTGCAATAGTCTTGGTTACCTAGAATTTTGTGAAATTTGTGCTGGGGAAAGAAGTTATTCTAAAGTTAGAAGTGTAAATTCTCAATATTGTTCTCAGTATTTCTTTTCTAACATTTAAATAGGTGTAAGGAAATTCTGTTAATTCTGTTTCAGCATGAATTTGGCAGGGATTTTTGTCTACAAGTGGATGTACTGTATGTTTGTGTCCAATCTTTCTTTTTTGAGCTCCAAATCAGACCCATATATTTATTTACAACTCATTATGAGTCACAGTGGCACAGTGGTTAGAGTGCAGTGCTGCCGGCTACTTCTGCTGCCTGCTTGCAATTTGGCAGTTCGAATCTCACCAGACTCATCCTTCCGGGGTGGATAAAATGAGGATCAAAAATTGTTGGGGGCAATATGCTGACTATGTAAACCACTTAGAGAGGGCTGTAAAGCACTATAAAGTGGTATATAAGTCTAAGTGCTATTCCTATTGCTATTACAATCCCACTCCAATTTACTTGGACTTTGAAGGGTGAACAACAATTGAAAAATGAGAGTTTCCCCCCATCTAGACTGATAGGTTGGGTTGTAAGGGAGGAAATGGGCCTGAGCCAGCAAGTAAGGTAAGAGATGCCAGGGAGAACAAGTTTAAATTTTTTGCAACATTTCCACTCAAGAAGAAGCAAACCATTATCAAGCAAGCAGACAGGAACCTGTTAACTTGGATCAACCACCTAATCTAAAGCAAAAGTCTGGGTTTACACCAAAGAAAGTAATTTGACATGGATGGTGGACATCACATGGTTCTGCCTAATTGGACAATATCTGATACACAAATATGAAGGATTGGTTGCTGTTCCATCTCATATGCATATACAAACACAGGTCATATGAAAGCTCAATAAATTCTGCTCTGAAGTGACCATGCAGAACATCATGGAGATCCTGGTCCACAGATCATTGGCCTTACCTTCATATAGATTGTGCAGAGCCTGCAGAAGACTCACTGGTCAAAACACAACATGGAAAACAACCTTGCATGGACAATTTTGGGGGGATAATTTCCCTTTTCATTCTAATTTGTCAATGTCTTGGCAAAAGAGAAATTCAATCCATTTTTCATATTTCAAAAAGCTCTGCTTTTTGAGGACAATTTGACTAGGTGTGCCATGAATGTCTAATGCTACTGTTGGAAGAGAAACTGGAAACTATCAAGCTTGATAGCATCTCATTCTGTTCTCTTCTGTTCCAGAAGGTTTACTGGACAAGTATATACATGAGGGGTCCTTGGTGCTCTCTGAGCTTGCTTGTTTTCTTGCAGATGTTTCATTACCCTAACTAGGCAACATCATCCCTGCTGTATAGACAGCACATAGTCTGTCTCTTCAGCAATGTAATTTGAGTTGCACCAACTATACCTTCACCCAGGCAGAGTTATGCAGATGGAGAGACCAAGACTTTTTTTACAATGATTGAGATAATTAGACCCAACAAGGGTGTTGTATTTCCAAAAAGAGACTCTTGTATTGCAAAATATAAATTTAATGTGATCCAGATTCTTTCCTGGTCATCTGGATTCCCTCCTAACTTGGATTAGGTCTTTTTCTCTTTCAGATCTTAGAGATCCTTGAAGTGCTGTTCTGAGTTTATTATGGATTCTGGCAAGAGAGAAATGAAAAAAAGAAGTAGGCAGATTCAGGTAGGAGTCCTTTAACACTTCTTTCTCCACAGCTTTTTAGAATGTTTTGTCCTCCAAGAACATTCTGGGACCATTCCCCAGATAGTGACAGAAGCCCTGTTGAGCTTTCTGCTAAATTCCATTGTGCCTGGAAACTGCAATTTTTTTTACTGATTTAAGAGAAAGGCAATTACTGTTGCCTTATATTCCATGGAGCATAATTATTTTTGAACAAAGAAAGACACAGACACTGACAATTAATTGGAAATTAATTGGAGTTAAGCAGCCTGAATGGGATCTATGACAATTCACTACAGCCAATTCGCCATGGCCAACTTGCCACAGTCAACTCACCAAGGCTAACTCACCACAGGAGTGACTCACCATGGCCAACTCTCTGCAGGACAACTTGCTGCAGGACAAGAGTTACACTAATATCAAAGAAATGGTGGAATAAAATCATTAAAGAAATGATGCAAAAGGAGGGACAAAATGAAATGGGAATGACAAAAATTAAAATATTTTTTATTTTATTTTAAATAATTAAATAGAATTGTTAAATTTTCCATATCAAAATCATGACATTAACTGCTGACCATGTTCAAGAGAATCATAATAAGTTGTACACACAGTTGCTGTTTATTCTGGATATGTTCTGACCCAAGCCTTGTTCAAATTAAACAAACACAAACTGTGTATAAAAGCAAACCTTTTTTAATATGGTGCTCAGAATTCAGTGCATTCCCAGCCAAGAGATATTTAATTGTCCAATATCAAAAGCAAGCCCTTTCAAGGTTGCAAAAGGCTGCCAAGAACAGAAGACTAATTACTGATTAAATATCCACCAACAGAAGTTTCAAAAACAAACCGGAGCAAGCAGGGCTTCAATGAGGACTCTAAGTGTAAAGAACTTCTTTGCTTCCTGCAAAGAACACGTCCCCAAGGGCTGGTTTTTATCCCTTATGGGAAGGTCCATCACCTTCCAGCCTTACTCCCGAGTCGCCCTTGCTGCTTCAGTTGCTCTTTCCTACGAGCAGCCCTGCACGCACGCACACTGAGCACAGGCTCCCTGGGGTCCTCTGTGTCACTGCTGCCAGACTCCACAAGCTCTGAAGGCAACACCCCACTCTCCAATAGTCCTGGCCCCATCCCTGCATCTCACGCAGGCCCCTCATCTGAGTCCTTGCTATCAGAGGCCTCTGGCATCCACACCTGCTGCCGGCAAACCACAATAGGATACCCACCCCAGAGTTTCAGCAGAACAGTTTTCATCTCCTTGTTCCTAAGGGTATATATTAATGGGTTCAACAAAGGGGTTACTGTGGTGTGTAGAACATGCTCACCACACCATAGCAAATACATATAAAAATGTTTTACATATATTCTGCTACCTACTCTGGATTCCTACCCCAGACTTTCAAAAGAGCATTTTTCATCTCCTTGTTTCTAAATGTGTATATTACACCATCCATGGAGTCATGAGCAGCTGGTCTCAGATAATGGTACACCACAGGCAGATAATATATGACCACCACAGTAAGATGGGCTGTGCAAGTTGAAAAGGCTCGATGCCATCCTTCACCCCTATTAATTCTCAAAATAGCCATGACGATGTAAACATAAGATGCTAAGATAAGGAGAAAACAAGTCCTTCACTACTACTAATCTTAAAAATAGCCAGGATGATGTAGACGTAGGATGCTAAGATCAGCAGAAAGCAGGTCATTGCCACAAGACCAACATCAATGAACATCACAGACTCGTTAAGTTTTGT